GTGTGTGTGTGTGTGTGTGTGTGTGTGTGTGTGTGTGTGTGTGTGTGTGTGTGTGTGTGCATTCCTATTTACTTAGTAAGCTTGCTGGAAAAAAACTGTGAGAGCGTTGTTGTTATCGTATTGTGAGTGACACATGTGTAATTTAATAGCAGTCTTCTCACTATCCCCTCATTCTTGTGTACGGTTAAGGTTTACTGAGCGTTTCTCAATCTACTGTAGGTCACATACAACCCCCAGCAACCTATCCATTACTCAGGAAAGGTTTGTAAAAATACACTTTGTGTGAATTCTTCTGAATGGAAAACACCTCCTCAGCAGAGCTACATCTATTACTTCGATGAAGTATGAAACGGATAATGTTCCCAGTCAGTTTGCCCTTCAGCCAAATCATATTTTGAAACTGAGAACATAACATAGAAGGAGAAAGTTTCAAATTGATCTGACTGGACTTCTCATAAAAGCAGCAAAGAAACAACTGGTCTTCACACATTTAGCTTCAACTGATGTTATTTTATCCCCCTGTGTTTTGACATAAACAAACCACCTATCCCTTCAGATTGTAGATCAAAACCACAACACTACTTCCCTATACAGAGTATTTAAACTTGTTAACACTGGTGAAAGCCAGGCTCCTGTGGAAACAACAAAGATAAGATTTCACAGCAGTTCAGTTCACTCACTCTGAAGCTACGGTTCAGTCCAGCCGGCTTCATCGCAGCCTCGATCTCAAACCTGACGAGATTACACAGAGGCTTCCTGTCTCCTCGGCTCGATACCATCTCAGTCTGACTTCTCGCTCCCCTCCCATGCAACCCTGTCCCGGCCGCAGATAGCGCCAATTACAGCCTAATGGGACAGTTTTAATTAGAAAACTACATCTAGGAAAGCACGTGTTCATCCAACTCCGCAGCATGGCTCATTTAAGAGATTAATACGCAAGCAGGTCGTGCAGTACAAGAAAAGTCAGTGTTGAGAAATAACAGCTAGTCAAGGAGGCTATTCATGTGCAGATCAAAACAAGAAGCCCACTCTCAATGTTTTCTGTTGGTTCTCTTTACAGAAATAACTACACAATTAAATCCTCCACGCTGTGCAGCACATGAATGTTTTCCGTTCTTTCAACCACTCATAAATCACAACTCATTTACTTTTAAAGAAAACATTGAAAATAGGTCTATGGTTTTTCAACAAACATCCTGGTTTGGTAGTTCAGTCATATTTTAGTACTGTACATGGAGTAAATGAAAATGTAATGCCACAGCAGGTTCCAGTCATTGGTAATTATATGTAGTATGATGACTCAAAACTCATACAGCCTTTTGCATTTGTTAAATTAAAAAAGCTCGACAGAAAGAAAAAGGGGCAGTGAAAAGGTTTTCAAAAAGCTATCGGGCAATTATGAAGGACAGGATTATTTCCACAAGTATGCATCACTTGTGACAACAAAAACACATTTTGTAATGCAGCTGCTCAGTCGCTGTCAATCTCAATAACACAATCCAGCGCTTTATGTGCACCAGCTGATCTATTTTTGAGAAATCTAAATTGAAATCTAGCTTAATAAGCTGTTGATTTGCAGTTCAACATTAGCTGAATGTCACAACCACAACCTCTGGGTGTAAAATTGAAATCTATAATTGCAAAATATTGCAACAAAAAATAAATCACTGGCACTTTCAGGACTTTTTATTTCATGCACATCTGCTATCTGTTTAAAACCATAATGGACACTTGTTTTGGTTTATTGCAGGAGATTAAAAATGTCTCTGTTAAACAATATTTTTTTGAAGATAATTTTGTTATTTGAAAAATAAACCTCAATAACTGCTGCTATTTTTAGATTTTCCAAATGTTTATTTACTGAAACAAATACCGTCAAAGGGAACATGTCATGTTTATGGAGAGGGGAACCAGCAGACTGGACTCCAGGGACTTCTACTTCTAAACTATCTAAACTACCACTTTCATCACGTCCCTCACTTGAGCAAATTACCATATCAGCAGTACGATCTGAAGGCAGTCCAAAAAACCACAATCTCTGCTTTCTGACGTACAATTAAAAGATGTCAAACTCGGTTTCTTTTACAGTGTTTTGGTTCTGGCTGTCAGCGCATCAAACATTATCTTAAAGAGGACTCATTTAGCAGAGAAAAGGGAACGGCCAGGTTCACTGACGGTGAAGAGGGGGCTCAGTAGCCTCGGGGTATGTGGGTATCCAAGGAGCACAAAAGAAACGCGAACACGATAAGAAAAGCAGTGATGGTGGGAGGCTGGGGGGTGGGGGT